ATGAGAGTTATTTTAATCGTATGTTCATTAATATTTATTATTTGGAATATCGCGAGAGTCGTAAACAATTTATGTTTAAACTCACTCTCACGGAATGAGAAAAATATCGCATTAATATTTAATATTTATGTACAATATTATTAAAATGTTTGCAATTTTTAATTCTTCTTCTCCTTTTTTTTGGGTGACGGTTTTTTACACAATTTTTTGTAAATGGTTTTCAGTACAAAGTAAATTGTGTACAGCACACTGAAAATTACCAACAAGATAAAACTAATGACGTCGACCAAGTAGTACTTCCACCATGGCATTCCGACGGCCGCAGTCCTCAAATGTTTCGCCCCTTTGTGCCTTATCACGTATTCCGTCCAATAAACGGCGGATTCCGTTGCGTTCATCGGCCTGTCTTTGAATCTGTTCGATAGTTTTTTGGCATTTAAAGCATAACTTTCATTTCCCACTATCTTTGTTATAGCGTCGTATAAAATATCACTGTTCATCGTTTCGTATTCCAACAATATACCAGAACCCTGTTCGACTAGTTTCAATATGTTTCTAGGCTGATCGAAAAAAAACGGAACACCTATAATCGGCGTAGCAGTATACACGGCCTCCATAATGCCCAAAAGTCCACCGTGGGTCATGAACAATCGAGTTTTGGGATGTTCCAGAATGTCTCGTTGAGGCATCCATTTGCTTATGTACACGTTGTCGGGCTTGTCCGGCATATCTTCTTCATATTTCCACAGCACTCTAATGGGTAGCTTGGCAAACACCTCTTTGAACATTTGCAATACGTGTTTTGGCAGTGTAGACATACGCATCAAAGAACCAAAGGTGAAAAACATTACTCCATTGGGTGAATCTTCGATAAACTTCAATATGTCCTGTGGAAAACAAACAATTATACTCAAAACTAATGGTCATATTAGAAGTATAAGTCCTCAGTAATATAATATTTTTTTCTTTTTTTTTTAATAAATTATAACGTGGATACAACAGAATTATACTCAAAAATTATGGGTATAATTATCGTTGGATAGATAGACAATAAGTTTAGTATACATTTTTTAAATTTGCTCTTAGTTAAATCCTAAACGATTTTTCAAAATATTGTGATATGTAAATGTATTTTGTAATAATTATTTTGGTAACAACGAAAGAAACACTCGTAAATATTAAGACAGGTACGCACAGGTTATAGACTATCTAATAAATATTCATTAAAGAGCTATCAGTATTAATAGTCTATATTAGAGTGCAAAATACTTGTATATTAGTATATTTTATATTCATATATTTTTTCATTACATATATGTCAATACTCATCGCAAATTTCAACTCATTTATCCTTCATTCCCTTTTTTACATAATGATGCTTCTATAAATATATACAAAAAATGTACATGATCATCTCGTTAATGAATTTATATCACAATGTACATCGTTAGTTTATATGAGAAAAACACGATAATGTTAATTAAAAGTCAAATAAAACGATTTATACAAAGTATAGAGTTATTAATTTTAAAATAACGATATTTATTTTTTAATCGCAAAATATATCAATTAAGATATGGAAATAAATGCCGTGTATTAAATAACATGTTACATCGAGCTGGAATACGATAATTTGTAATGGAATTATTACGAATTCTTATTTGACACAAATTCTATAGAAGGCAGAAGAACAAATGGTGTAGTCTTTGTGTATCATATTATAAAAGGTAATTTGATAAAAGATAATTTAAAATTGTTAATTTATACGGAATACAATAATGTTAGAAACGTATTGTTAAAAAGTAACTTTATGGATAACTATTATTTATTTATATTAGTTCCGTGTAAATTGGCCATTACAATGATAATTTAATATTTAATATCAAAATAATAACTATATTCTATTGAAAATCATTTTGTTTATGAATAGTTGTCCATTAAATATACTATTAAAATATTAGGGACTCAATGTAATTATTTTTTCATAACAGTTTTAGAAATTGTTTATTTTATTAAATTGTAGAAATCGTATTATTATGTTTTTTATTGATCAAAAACAATAAATTTGTTTTCTATACACAGATAGAAACCCATAGTCTAACAGTCTGATCTTGTTTAGTGAATCTAACACCCATCTGAATTTATTTATATAAAATAGTATTATTTTTAATTTTTTGTAAAGAATAATTCATGTTAAGCGTTAAATCTTACATTTAGATTATGAGTTGCACATACAATTTAACAAACATTTTTAATAATATTTGTTGAGTAGAAAAGTCATATTTGAATGTTTTTAATTAGTTTCAATAACTGTAACTAAAGTTCGAATATGAACTTAAACGGACCGTAAAATTTTATCGCAAAATACTAGATTGGTTAGTATTATCATTGATAATAAAATAAGTAACCGGAAAGCGACCCTCGGAAGATGTGAAAACGTATACATGAGCTTAGAAATATAGATTAATTATGCCGATCATATGAAGTAAATATTCTTAATTTAAAACATACATATGTATAATAACATATATACAGTAACTTACATATTATTTGTAGGATGGGATTGAAGATGTTTAACAATTATATTTGTTCAAAGAGAGAACGCATTCCGTGCCACCTTTCTATCTTTGTCTAGTCAAGTCATGCGATGCGTGGTTATCTAACAGTGGGTGAGGTTCGGGGTACGAAAGCGGCCAGACGATTATGTGTGGCTGGTCAAACTTTTCTCACCACGTCGCTATTTCGCGCCGCAGTACTGATTTCAAACCGATATCGTATACACGAAAAATTTAATATCTTATCTTGTTATTATTAAATTAATTATATTTTTTAACTTTTCTCATTCGGTGGCTCAGCTGCACACAAAGTTCTCGCGTTTAAAAAAGATACTATGCAAATCGGTCCAGTATAACTTCAGATATAACTGTTGTAAAAATCGCCTATCCATTTAATAATATAATAGGTGTCCAGCGTGACGCGAAAAAGGTGACGTTCGAAAATGTTCACAGAAATTCACGAAAATGTCCAAGCGGAAAGATCTGAATGCCATATAAGACCTTTTCAAAAAAAGGTCATCACCAATGGACAGGAAAAAAAAGCATAAATATTACATAAACACCAAGAGGTCTTTATGCCCTTTAAATCCGCACAGATACCCTTGAGATGTAGACAGACATCTGGTCCGACCATACACATTTCTATTGGTCAGGATGCTGTTTACCTTGGGCAAGGGTCTCGGTGGCTTGATGTGTACACCACCGATTTCCACCATGTTTGGCACCAGTGGTCGGGGTCCATCCAATGAAAAGTGTCCGTTCACGAACACCATGGACGTGTTGTACACTATATCGTTTATGTACGGCACGTCCGGTCCGAAGTTCTCCTTCAGCAACTTGTCGGCAGGCCACTCGCTGTAATATATCCACGCCAATTTGAAGTAAATGTAATACAAGGTGTTGATCATACGCATTTGGAAGTTCATCTTTCCCACCGCTCTAGTCACGATCGTTGGTATATAGGATGGGTTGTCAGGGCCACCCACACGGTCGTAACTCCATGGTAGATGTGAGCTGGACATAATGGACAAAAGTGGTGCCTTGAAATGATATGCAAAACCGACATCGCAATCAGCTCCAAAGATTTCTGTGAAAACCTGGGAAAAAAACAAAATAAAAATATTAGGTAATCGTGAATAAATATTTTAAATCTTATTATATCTTAATATACTCGTATTATTATTTTTAATCCATAATACTATTATGTAAACGTAAAAAAAAATATCATGTTATCATATAGGTATTAGTATTTATATACCTGATCAATTTTTATCACTTCTTCATGTTTATCATAAGCTTTAGTAAATACTTGTAGTGTAAATTATTAGATTAAATATAAAATTTCTTATTTTCTGTTAAATGTATTTAAAAGAGAGTAAATTTTTAAAATATAAGAGTAACTACTCCCCATATTCGAAAATGAATGCAAATAATATTATCGTTATAATAATATATAGTATTTTATTAAATATACCATTATCAAAACATGAAACCCATGTTTTTCCCTGTGCAGGAATTAATCTCTCTTCGAAATAAAACTCCATGTAGGAATTAATCACTTTTAAAATGTAAAAAACCACTATTTTAACTCGATTATTTTATTACAAAATATCCAAGTTGTAATTGTAATGATTTATTACGCAGTATAATTTTTGTTTTTTTCAATAATTTTATTAAATAGAAACATAATACTACAGGATTGACAGGTTAATATAGTCACCGTTATTGTCTAACGAATATTTATAGTTATTCGTTTAGATATAGTAAAGTCAATTTTAGTACAACGCCGGTTTTAAAATTTTCTGTTTTCAAATAAAAGGTGTCAAAGTGAACTTTTTGCAACATAAAATATTTATATTTTTACATTAATCAAAATATTAATGATTATCGAATTTAATAACCCGTACGGTTTAAAACTTTTTTTTAACAAATAAGGTATAAATATTTGAAAATAAAATTCAGTTCATTAGTTTCTTGTAATATGCATACAAAAATAATTCTCCTCTTGCACTTATGAGTTTTCGGAAGTTATAATTATAACTAACTTTAGGTGATTAAGCGAGGAGACGAAAGTGTCAAATCTCATTTTCATTTAAATTTGCTATCCTTTTAAACATATTGTATAACAGGTTGTTGAGTCGGTAATGAATGTTCGTTGATCTCATATTTCTTATTTCGAAACTATCGATTAATAAGTTATATATTCGTATATAAATAAATAAATGGAACTATTTTTTTTATTTTCATTAAATTTATACAGTACGTAAATTAATTTGTAATTTTAAGTAAACCTGATGTGATATGTAGGTACTATTCATTGATCCTTCCAAGTGGATGAAGAATATAATATTTTAATAACCTCATAAAGTATATAGAAATATAAAAACAGTAATAAAATATATTAGAAGAGCAAATTAAATAATAATTGAATAATAAAATACTATTTATCATTATTATTTTGTCACTATTAATACATGTTTTATTATCATAGCTTTGTTTAAGGCGGTATTTATTATTGAGGTATAAAATGTAATAAACTGCAACATAGCATTACGTGAGTGACGTTTTTCTTAATTGAAAACGTTTAATGTGTCATTGCTTCTGGAATGCAAACTCCGCCCTCTCCCTACTTACGATGTACTAAAAAAAGCTGACGACAACTCATAGTACTCAAGTGAATTAATATAGATGTAATTGGACAAAATACGTTTTGTTTTGCATTGTCTGACTTGGTTGTTCGTTAAAATATTTAGGTACTCGCAAGGCATTAATATTCAAGTAATACAAAATCTGAAAATCAAAAACTCAAGTTCTAAAGAAAAACGTTTTGGATTTTCTCGACTGGACAGTGTTCCGGATTCCAAAATTTTCGAATACCATTTCGGACCCTTCTCCCTTTTCGGAAAACTAGATAGAGCCAACAATTTAATCAACTTTACAAATCAAGGCTTTGAAAGTTTGAACGTTTGTACCTATAAGAGTATTGTAACCACGAAAATTATAAAAATACGTGTTTTATGTGTATTTGTCAAATTAATATCAGATTTATGACTTGATATCCACGAACTCAAAATTAAATTACAAAATCAACGAAAAAGAAGATTCACGACGTGCGAGGGTGAGAATCATTATTTTTTGTTGAAAAATTATTTCATCTTTAACAATCGACCTAACCCCCTCAATCCTGGTATCACAGGAATAATTATTCGGGGTTTCGAAAACGGAAAACCGCACTGACCGCGTCGAACTTGATGTCGCTCTTGAGCAGCGCTTGGACTTCCGGCAACTTCTGACCTTCTCGGCACAGCTTCATCTGGTGGTCGGCGATAAACCACTGGTTCATAAACACGCTGGACAAGTAGTTGAGCACTATGTCGATGCCAATCTGGTTTACCGCGGACGGGAACGTTTTGGACACGTCGATAACAGTGTAGTTGGGCAACGGCGTCTTCTCCGAGTATGCCGAGATGACAGTCACGTTGTGGCCACGGGCCGCAAGCGCTTTCATCACGCTCTCATACACGGCCCAGTGGCTGCGGCCATTGATCGGGAACACGCCCAGGATGTTGGCTCCGTCGGCCACGGACATCGCACCAGCGGCCACTAGGAGCAGCCCGAAAAACTTCATCTAAACCAGTGAAGAAGAATAAATATTAAAACAACGTATTATTACAAAACGTAGAGCTCGAACGTTGTACATCACTAAAAAGTACTCAATCACGAGTTATTTGTTGACATAAGAAACCCATAAATGAGCATTTTAATAAAAAATGTATTTACTTCATTGTATTCCTTCTGTTAAGCACTTAACAATATTTACCGTTTTTTAATTGTTACTGATGATATACTAAGTTTAAATAAAATTGTACATCAACATGAGCATATTCTATTCTACTCACACTGT